AATTTGTCTCCAACATGAACGCGCACTTGAAAGATTGGTGCTCACCGATTTTACCAGGCAATACAGGTTGTTCTTTCATGTCTATGTATGCATTTGTCTGGCCACTTAAATGTGCACTTGTCCGTTCACTTGAACAACTTAACTCAAGATTCTCATCACCGAAATGCGCTGGTAGAGAAATAGAAATGTTTTCAGTTTTGAAGGCTAAGAGTAGGTTTAAAAGAAGGGAACTGCGTTAGCTACACCCATGTGGTGAATTATACTGAATTTTCTAACAGAGGAATCAAGATAGAAAGAGACTCTGCAATAACTAGTGCAGTTTTAGCCTATGTGATGAGTGTCAACTGCCAAAGTGTGTAGAAGCATAAAAACGAGTAACGAGCAAGATGAAAGGTAAAAGAAATAAGATGAGCCACAAACGATAAAGATAAAGCTCCCGACGTTGATCCATCTTTGACGGATGTGTTGTGCATTCGACTCCATCAACCACCGTTAGAGGTGCTGGAATGCATATCTGCTGTTCGCAATGTCTCACGGTGGTTTACCGTTGTATCACGTCAGTACTGCTATTCTCCGAGACGAATCTGGTACCAAGGCTTGATAAGCGTGGAATCGAAATGAGGACCTCGTGCGCATTTTAGGACACCTCTAACTACTGCTCTACATGCACCTCCAAAAGACTTTTCATTCCTTAACATATTCTAGAATTGGAACAACACGGAGTAGATTAGCAACTCCCTATACAAAGATAACACACAAGCTCGTGAACCACTCCAAAATTTATGAGGACGGAAGAGAAAAGACATCACCCGTATCACCTGTAGTCCCGTTGATCGTCGAGTGACTTTAGCGGGCGCTAGTAAATCTTCCATTTTTCCCTGTCGCGTGCAAGAGTAGCCCAGTGGGTTCTGCATGCTCTAGGGACTCGTCGAGCATCATATCTTTCTTCTAGGCTCCTTGTGAAGAACTTTGACTATCGGGTCGTTGGTCTTCCTGTAGTACGTTTGACATCCCGAGGAAACCAGTTACTAACCGCTCTTGTCCATCGGTAGCCATTCATACGCATTACGTGCGTGTCCCACCCATTTTATGTTCGACCGCTTGGCGTACGGAAGAGCATCTTTGATTTCTGATCGCTGACGCAGATCGGAGCTTCGGATCCCATCCCTAACTTATGTGAAACGGTGTACTCCTAGCATCGTCCTTTCGACTGCGCGTTCGATAACCCTGAGTGATCCTTTTATCTTAATTGCGCAGCGACCATGTTTCTGATGCATACGTTAAGGCAGGAAGTACCGTTGAGGCGAAAAGGTGGGCACAGAGTCGGGTGTTCTTTGTTTCCTTCACTACATCCTCGGTGCTCTTGAAAGCTCCCCAGGCCGCTCGTTTACTTCTGCACAGCTCTGGAGCTAAGTCGACAAAAGACATATGATAAAAAAAATGGGTGCTAGAAAACAAATAGAGAAAAACTAGCCTATTCCCCAACATTTGTCTACCGTTCACTTAAAATAATATTTCATTGAATCTTTGTTTTAAACCTATTTTGGTCTTTCGGAAAAGAACGCCGACTTGTTCTACACTTGAAATGAACGACATTTGATAATTCCTCGCTTACATTGAGGGCTGTTTAGAAATTTGAAAACAAAACAGCTTAGAGATATGTTGGGAACTAATTTCACGGTTTAAAACGCAATCGAAGCTTTTTAGACGCTAACTTTTCGAGCGGAAATAAAGTTGATGCTTGAGTGGACTAAAAACCTAAAGGGGTAGGTAATCAACAAGTTTGAATGAAAAGAATATCATAAGATGAATGAGAAAAAACTCATTTCAGCTGGCACGAAAAAGTAGAGCAGTTAGACTAAATAATTAGAAAACGTCAAAGGAAAATTCTAATTAAGGAAAGTGCAAGTTGCAAATAACGAGACTGTTTTATAGGCTACTCAGTAACCAAGACGAGTTCACTACTACTTCGCATATATCTGCACATTCTCACTTGGATAGCATGTACGGAAAAAACGAAATCTGGAATTTCACACGAGTGTTCAATTTCAGGTTGCGGATCGCTTTAGATTATTCAATTAGTCGACAAAACGTGTTTAGCCGTCTGTAGAAGGAAAGGAGTTCTTCACGAAAAGCCTAGAAAAGAGATGTGTTGCTCAACGAATCCCTAGAGTAAGCATAACCCGCTGGGTTACTCTTGCACGCGACAGGGAAAAATGGAAGATTTGCTCGCGCCCACTCGAGTTGCTGGACGATCAACGGGACTACAGGTGATGTAGGTGATGCAGGTGAGCATGCATCATGGAGTGCTTCATACGGGAATGATTTGCTCACTGGAATTGTTCGCAAAAGGGTTACTGATAATTGAGCAATATTCTCAGCGTTGTTCCCCCCACGCCTAAAGTTTTCAGTGAATCATGAATAATAACCGCTCTAAAATTTTGTAAACACTATTCTGTGTTGTAAGCTATAGCTTAGAACATCTGAGTTTCTTAGTATCTAGAGGTGATGAAATCGGAGCGCAGTTATCCAGAAGAGGTTATTTTTCTTTTCATCATTATCACAGTCTAACTGTTGTCATCATCACCTTTAACGGTTCATCAATGAAGAAATTTATAATCTTTCTAGTACTTAATTCCTCTGTCATTATCAACGCCATAGTTCATAGTGGATAACCAGTTAGAGCATAGATACACCAAATTGAGTCAGGATGAACAGTACAGATTCATTCAATACGATATTTCTTAATGTCAACGATGCGTTCATAAGCGACGTCATTTCAATTATACACATTGAGATTTGATGAAACGCAACATGTTGCTATTGCAATCTTTTGATTCCGATAAGAACAGAAAAATCGCCCAATGCGATAATATTGTGAAGAGAAGTACAGACTTTCAAAATAAGCGAGAGGAAATGTAAAGCCGTTGTGTAGCTTTGCTAGGGCAATGGGCTTTTTTCTTTCAAATCCGTCCTAGCAAGTTAAGCGTCAAAAATGGGAACACAAAACATGTAGAAATGCAGGCTTTCGCCATTCTACATGAAGGACATTTGACAAAAAATACCTATAACGTCTTAGTACTGGAGATTTATTGAGCTAAGTATGGTGATACCAGTGTCGCCTGACGAAGCCACAGAATTTATTTCTTTATAACACCGATCGTCAGCAAGAAAGACTCAGCGAAGCACAATATTTTCCATTCCTCTTTAACTACGTCTATATGTGTTTGTTTTTCCTTTTTGCTGGCACAGCGGTAAGAACTTCAAGTACACTTGCCGTGTTAATTTCAACCATTGCGGCTAAATTACTTTTTGAGAATAACTGTTTGCGAGAAGAACAATCTTGGAGAAAACAACCGAATGCTGGCGGATTATTCATCGTTACGTCATATCCGTGAACTATATTTGTGTATGACCAGGTGGTGACTCTGCAGCAGGTGACATTGAGTTTAGCTGCATTTATGCTAAGCTTTGAAATGTTTGTTCACTGGCCGACTTTCAACGATTCTCTAACGGAACACTTGCTGTCGTTCACGAAGCAATGTTCAAACGAATTCCAGTGAGTGGCCGTAGGTAATATGTGGACGGCTTCATGGCAAATAAAGTTGCTGATTGTTGATTTACCACGTCTCTTCAAATTTTTTGTCAACTTTCTGCAAATTCGACTATAATGCACGGTTTAGTCAAATGGCATAATCACGTGCTTCAATAATATTCACGTATGTACCTCTTGTAAGGCAGTTGTACGTACAAAGTGCGTCTTAAGAACTCATAATAAAGGATGTTACTATAGGAGGAAAACATAGACGTTGACAAGGGAAATGCAGGAAGGGTGTTAAATAATGAAAAGATGGAATTGAGTAGCGAAATGACGTAATTTGACAGATGAAAAAACCATTAGAAAGTGCTACGCTCATGAAATGCAGTTTTTGATGACTCAATATTGGGGAAATCCAGAAAAAAAAGAGTGAAATCGCTGTAATATCGGCCCTGTTTCATTAACATACAATATAACCGATGGGTTGTCTGAGGTCCCTTTGTGGGTGAAGTGATAATTATCGCACAAGCGCTGATGATCTACTGATTTTATCTCGACAGCAGTTCAGAGTTTTTAAAGTCAGAGTGAGCACTTACTCGCAGTTTTGTTTCTATCGATATTTTCCGAAAACAGAAAAAATCCCTGTGTCTTCGGAAAAATTACGTTCACACGAGAAAACTGTTTGCACAAATACTGGTCTGGTTCAAGAACAAATTTCGCTTCATTGAATTGTTGAACACATTAAAAATTGCTGATAGTCCCAATAGAATAAGAACATGGCTAAGAGAACGGCAAAACATGTGATCTTCAGGTGAGAGTTATCGCAGGTAAGAAGCCTACGTGAAGTACCGACTTTTCCTCATATCTTAGCTTTCTTGTGGCTGTATTACACATTTCAGTCTCCCATAAAAACTTACTGACAGCAAGTGAAAGATAAGAAAATCCAAAGGATAGCGATTTCATAACTGCTTATCTCCATTGATACCGATTTTAACTGTCAGCCAGCTCAAGCTGTTCCGGGAGTATAAGATGGTGGAGTGCATGCGCAAAATGGTTACCCTCTATCTGATATCCTCTGTATTGCCAGTTTCTCTAGAGAGAAAGCGAGCTATGAAATAAGCACACAGCAAATCTCTGTATAATTAGAAATTTCTGTCCATTCACATTGGGAAGCAACGCTACATGTTGACGTTTCTAGCTGTCTTTTTTCCTGATACTTTTCCTGATGCTCATCACTACAACAGAACAACATGTAAATTGAAATCATATTCTGTGATATTTTGCAGGGTCGACTCTTCTTATTGCACTCCCAGGCGAAGTATTTTGTAAACATTACTGCTGTGGCTGATGAGTCATCATTTACAATAATTCCCCTCCTTTTATTGATCGACTGTTGTAGTCAACTGTATAAATAGTGGTGAAGTAGCGTTCGTGTCATCTCCGAAAGAACGATTCACCCATCATGCTTCTTCTGTCATTGTTTACGCTACTCTGTTATGCTTTCAAAGCGGATGCTCAGGTCAGTTTCACTATCAACCGTGCTATTTATTCTTTTTAAAAATACGATTATTATTCGGAAAGTTTGGGAATTCCCATGAGGATTTTATGGTATTTTTGAAACATTGAAATAAACGATGACCAAAAGACAATCCTACTTTCTATCCATTCCAAAATAAGCAGCGTTATATTAAGAAATTTTCTACATGATTTGATTGTCTTCATGAAAAGACGTGTTTTCGCCAGCATTTAACCTCCATTTATCAGCTCTTTTGGTCCGATTTTTGGCTTGAACTACGACAAGCATTCTCTTGGTTGGAAGGATGCCTCTGTATGATGAGGTTTCCTCAAGAAAGGCAATCATTTCTAGTATTGGTTCATTCTAAGTTCGGGTTTTGACTGAAATATTTAAGTGAATAATCTTAGTGTACCTGTTTCGGTGATGTATCCCACATTGCATATAGCTCACATAGCTCAACACTATGACCACCTCCTCCTTAAGTAGAATAAATCACATTTTTTCGACTTGTTTCTCAAAACAATCCTGAAAAGTCTTAATAGGGATGCGAAAACCCTTAAGATTTTATTTATGATAGTGTGTTCAACAGAACTCCTCTTTAATGTCACTTTTTAGCTCATTCGCTTTTGTTTCTCATTACTGCGTCGTAGTTTTTCTTTTTTCCACTAGGTTAATTGTTTCAGCTATTTCTTCCAAGGATAAGTTTCGTCGAGTATTTCCCGTCTTCACTTTCATTCAAACCATTTTCAACTGGATTTCCAAATTTGTTCCCTGAACTCCCGACGTTCATGGTACAATGTCGAAATTTCGTAAACGCTTTGTTTATTGTACATATGACGATTTGCAAAGAGAAAGAAACTTTTTTTCAGACAGATTTCTTCAAACCTGGATGGGGAAGGGATTTAGAAGAAAAGATCAAGGCAGCCTTCAAAAACGCATTGCTAGTCACTGACATTGAGTCTGCGAATGGCACGACGACGATCACACTGTCTATCGGAGGAAAGAAATTCACGCGAAGCTTTCCTACGGGCACTTGCTACTCTTTGTCCAGCAGTAAGGTAGAGGTGGATGGAAAGACGAATGAAACTGTTCGCATTACAGTTAACGGAACGACTTCTGTATATTCTACTGTTGATGGAAAGACAACTGTGACAGATGACAAAGGAAAGCCACTTGCAGATGGCGGTATCTTCGGTGTTAAGGGAATAGCTGAAATCACTGCGGCGCCATTCACTGAAGCTCTTCGGAAAATACGGAAAGTGATGAGATCTTGAAAATACAGCTATCGTGATCCTTAGCTTTGATAAAAATTATAATGTTTCATCAGAATTATTTCAACTGTTTCAGAAACAATAATAATTTTTTGCATGCATAAATGTTTACTGGAGACCTGAATATTTTATCGCTGTTAATTCGGCCTACATGTGAAGAACAACAAAACACTGAGGTGATCGTTCACTTCTTTCTTAGCGAAACAAAAAAAAATGTCTTTTTTCGTTTAACGCAATAACTTGGAACGATAGAAATCAATTCCATTGTATCAGGCGCTTCTTGGCACTGATATAATGTCACAGAAATTTCGCAATATAGTGAAGACTAATGTGCGTGAGGCTGGCTATTTTTCGTTCACACTTTGATTTCTGGTTCAGTCGATAAGGTGCCGAACTCCGACATGTCGTACAGGCCAAAAACTACAGTCTGCCATTTGATGTTCTTTATCTTTCAATCTCCTTTATCGAAAACAACTTTGGTGCTACTTCCTCGATTTTGGATGGTGGATATAACGAAGTCATGGTGCTCATTCACAGTGAATAAACCGAAGTGGAAACGTGGGCTAGATGATACATATGACATTTAAGCATTACACGATTATGGGGATAGAAGGTTAAAGACGAAAGTAGAAATCAACTGTGAAGGCTCATTTCTCGTTGCAAAAAAAACATTAGCTATGTGCGAATAGGATCAGACTTATTATCAAATAGAGCAAAAAGTTTTTTCTTGCAATTACAACAATAAAGGAGAGCGGTGGATCCGAGTGAGATGCGTTACTACTTGTTTCAGCGATTACTACTGCTGACTAAATGTTATGAAGATGTTCCTTGACAATTCCATGCCAACTCCTACTTCTCGTGAATGTGAAGGAATCGCCAAAATCAGCATTCTTCATTTTGTATTCTTGAACTAAAGCAAGATTTTATGAGACGGAAAAAAGAAATCATAGGCAATGAATGATTAAGAAAAGATAGCCGCCACTCGTTCAGAACGCTTGCATTTAAATTCAATTGCTGTTCGCACAAGATTATTCCTTTAAATTCAAAATGTTTTTCCTGAGGAAAAGAAGACAATATTTGCATTACTGGATGACTTGTCCTTACGACTTGCGAGTACGGATAACGTCGGTACAACTTACAGTTGAGAGTAACTTAGCACGTTAAGGAAGTACTTTTTTTCATGAAATCTAGTGGTATATCATTGTCCACTCTGCCGTCACTTGCAGTCCCCAAACATCGTGGATCGGAGGGAGATTTGCCGTCTTGCGATAAGCACGACGGTGACTCACAGCAAAGGGTTTTTCTAAGGCCAACGGATGAGAGTGCCGGCACCATTATGAACACAGAGACCTTCAATAGCATTCAAAATGAAATTCAACAACTGATGACAACCCACAACCTTATTGCTCTGCAAAGCTTTAAAAAATATCTGCATTTCAATTTTATTTACTGCCTATTCTTCTTCCATGGAAGGGTGAGTTGTGAGACATTGCCCCTAAGGTGATGAGATAAAATCAAAACTCTGAACCTCGGGCGTGCTTCGTACTCGCAAGTACCTTTTCTGGTCATGAAGAAGTCAGTGTTTGAAAAACACGATGCCATCGTTAATTTCTGGAGCATACGGTATTTAGTCCTGTGCATCTAAAACAGATGCAGCCTAAGAATTCTCTGACACATGCTTTTTCACCCTTGCGCGATGAGCAATGATGGCATGTGTTTTTTTTAACCATTTGCCTCATTGCGATCAAAGTCTATTCAGAGTGTCATGCCAGCGCTTCTGGTATTTGAGATTTCATACAAAGCTACGACTGGAAAAAGCTGAGAAATTTCGGAAAAAAACGCATGCAGGTGTGCATTGAGGACTGCCACTGGTTTGATAGATAAACAGTTTCGTTCAGAAATCGATCAGCCTACGTAAGTAACTGAAAGCCACCTCAATAAAAGGGCAAAAAGAATCTTTCCAGAACCAGAGCAAAAAAAGCAGAGGAGACTTTTACAAGAACAGTGAGGTGAGAAAGTTACATATCCACTAACCACTGATATCTAAAAAAACAAATATTTCCATCAAGAAAACCTACTCTTTGTATTCGATTTATAGGTTTTCATAAATTTTTAAAATTCTTTCAAAGCCTGAACGATTTCCGTATTTACTTCTGACAGCAGTTATAACGTGACCACACTGATCTCTAGAATGAACTTTACCATAACTGGGAACCATTCATAGAAACCTGCATTTAACACAATTCCACTACGTTGCTCTAGTCATAACATCGAACACTGATGAACAAATTTCCCAATATTTCTGATAGAATCTGAAATCATCGAAAACTTACTGCCATCACAATGCGATCTAGAACCTGAAGTCTCCATACGCCCATTGATTTTAGTCTGCATAGTCATAAAAACTTAAAACGATTTAAAAATTTCTAAAAATTGCCGATTTCAAAGAGTTTATTGAATTTTTAAAAAATAAGGTGTTCATTCGAATAAACTTCGAAATTTTAATAGATAGTTGCAATAATAAACCGTATTGTGGACCGAGCATTGGGCGTTGAACAATCCATCAAGGATGCGCCATGCATAATATGTGAAATATTATTTCATTATTCTACACTATTTTCATTATGTGAAATAAAATATGACATAATACTTTGCATTAAAAAATAGTAGGTAGTAAATAAAATTGACGGCATTGTGATTTACATCATACCTTCAGCTTAACCGAGTCCATGTCGATTTATGCACCCCAGATCAATTCTATTGCCAGGTGATTGGTGATAGTGCATATAGGTCAATAACGCGGCTAACAGACCTAGGAGACGAATGGTTCGCATGGCGCAGTGGTGAGCGCGCTAGCCTCCAGAAAGGGTAATAACGTGTTCGGTCCCACAACAGTGGCCAACGGTCTGCAGTTTTGCAAAAATCTCAGCAACATTATGGTTAAAAAACGTAACAGAAATTTGTGACAATCTCTCCTAAGCTTATCGAGAGCCCAAGAAACTGATCATTTATGACGAGATTAAGCGAAAATCGGTAGTAGAAGTATCGCACCTACAGTGTTCTGGGTGTGCAAGATTCAAATCTTTTAGAATTTATTTATTTTACTCACAATATGACCCGACATCATGTGCACCAACATTGCGCGTATCCCAGGTCTTGCACTCGATTCGTTTCCTCGAGTCCACCATCCACTGAGATATTCGAACGTTTTCCATGTTGGCTCGCTTGATGTTTTAAAAATTTTGTCATGTTTACGAATGTTGTTGAATGTTGGTCGGGTCAAGTCTTCCTGGAATCTTGAGATAGCCGTGCTAAGGCTTTTCCGCGCGGATTAGAGTTTGACCACAAAGAAATACGGTATCAATTTTCTGATCCAGGAGAGTGAGTGGCTTGGTGGGCTCAGTGAAGGTGTGAGTTAGAGTCTGGGTAGGTCAGACCTTCTAATCAATGGAACCACTTAGACACCATTATCTGCCGCCGTTTGCAGAATTTGAAGCAGAAAAGGACGTAGTGATCACAACAAGGGGAAGGAGGATGCATTTCTTTAAGCAGAAATAAAGGTGAAACAAACAAACATTACTCGGAATTGTTTTACGCCAAACTTCAAAGAAACTGTAAGAATTATGTCGTGCATGTAAATTGCTGTGGGAGTAGCCGTGCAAGGTGCATTTCAAATCTCTGTTAAATGCTGAATTTGCAGTTTCAGTCCTGTCTTCACTTCATTTCTGGACACTTGGAAAGCTTCCATTTATTCCATTCGCGTGCAAGATTGACCCAGTGGGTTTCGCTCGCTCTAGAACTCGATGAGCGTAATATTTTCCTTGTAAGCTCTTGGTGAAGAATTCGGAGCTTTGATGCCCTTCCTGCTGTACGCCTAAAATTGACGATACCTATTGAACAGCGTTTCCGGTGCACTATATGCCTGGTCCACTTGATTCGGCATTTTAGTCTATGGCAACTTATCTGATCTTTGATTGCTGATATAGTTCAAATTTTCTCATTCCTTCTCTCACTTGATGGCAAAAATGTGAAAACAAAGAGCGGTTCTTCTTTGATATCCTCACATCTCCTATAGAAGTACTGTATACCTCCAAAACCTCTTGTATTCTTCGGCTCACCTCTGGAGCTAAGTCGTCAATAATGTTGATTCCTCTTCCCAAACAAGCAGAGCAGCTGCACTTAGAGATGGTTCGCTTAAATGAAGAATTGATTGGGGATTAGAAGCAAATTTGTTTTCACGGCCACTCATGAGTTTCAGTCGTAGACCATCTTCCTACAAATTTTGTCGAACCGGCCACCATTCGTATAATATGAGTACTGCTTGACGTTATAAGAACAATATCATCAGAGAAGTGAAATGATGAAACTAACGACCATTGATTTCCATTCACATGTTATTCCAGTCCAATTTCTACATAATCTTTCAGAAGTTTGCCGTATATAATCTATGCGGGATAGTATCGCCTTGTCAAACTCCTTTTTTACATCGATGTTAATGGTGGTGCACAATGGTGAAGTCCTGATTGTGTCGTTGTACAAATACAGTTCACGAATAATTTTTATGCACTAAGTAGAGTCACTCTGCTCTGGATATGGAAACTTTACCTTATTGTGAAGGACAATAAACTGATGTAGGTACTACTTCTATAAAAAACAGCGGAAAATAAGAAAGGTATTTTGAAAACTGTCGTGCTTTTTGCATTGCGCGAAGAGCTGACCCAGACTTTACTTTAACACGGTTAAGTCACTGCACGATTGAATGGTTCACAAACGGTATGGATGGTACATATTCTAGCACCCGATATCTCTTAGCGTAAAAAATTCTAATCAATAGCGTTTCTCATACTCTAAGAAGATCATTGACTGTTTTGTTTCTCAGTTATTCTTCATAAAATGATCATTATCCATCTTTTTTACTTGCTCCTGCAAGTGAAGTGTTAGAGCTTACGATGTGATGAGTATAAAGGTCAACCAGTTTTGTTTTTTTCGAAATGGAGCGATGT